CAAGTACTACTACTACTACTACTACTACTAGTACTACTACTAGTACTAGTACTACTACTTCTACCACTAGTACTACTACTTCTACTACTTATACTACTTTTTTTCTTGCATCTCTTAGAAGAAGGCATGAAATGTCGCGAACTCGCGAACATCAAAGAGTGCATCCCGATGCCCCATGAATGATGAGCAGCCATCCCATGGAGAGCAAGAACTAGATGACCAGCTTACTCAGGAGCAGTTCGATAACGAGTTAGAAAAGGGTCTAGAAGTGATGCTTACTCAAGAGGACCTTGTCGATGATGAGGATCCAGTGGGGGGAGCCCAGGGAAGAGAAGGCGGAGAGGATGCCCAAGGCGAAGAAGGGGATGATGATGAGGATGAGAATGAGGATGACGACACCTCATCAGGGGATATGTAAGTCCCGAGGATCCTTTCCCACGAGAACCCAGACGGAGGCCAACGGAGGACGAGTTGGATAAGGATTTTGATCCGAACGACGAGGTACGGATAAAGCCTTAGTAGCTTGTAAATTTGGCTAATGCTATGGCTATATGTTACCTCTGCTAACACTTTTGACCTACCATATACACAGGTCATCCCTACTCAACCTCTGAAAAGACGACGTCGGCCTCCGGCTCGTCTTGCCGAACAATACGTAGCGGGGCAAAGGAGATCAGAGGAAGGAGCCACAGATACTCACAATGAGGCCTCCGCTCCACAACCTCAGGACACAACCACAACTGAGACTGCCCAGCCAAAGAGGAAACAAGGGGGGATTAGAAAGTCAAACCAATATCACGACAAGGCATACTATGTGATAACGGAGGTCGGGCCAGATGGGCAGATGCTTGAGCCATATACATACAGGGCAAAATTTCGTAATCACATCGGGTTTGTAGTTAGAGATAAGTTGAACCCAGCTATCCGTGGCTAGAATCTTGTACCTATGAGCCAAAAGGTAGACCTATGGGAGAAGCTGAAGCAGAACTTTAGGTTTCCAGAGGGAACGCACGAGTTGGTACAAGAAAATGCTTTTAAGATAATGGGGCAGAGCTTCCGACGTTGGCGGTCGGATCTGAACAAGAACTTTATCCAACAGAAGTTAACTCCTTTCCATGAGTATGGCAACATAACTCCTAGTCAATGGAAGGAGCTCGTGGCTGAGAAGACTTCAGAGGCATCATTAGCCCTCAGTGCCTGTAACAGCGAGCAGGCGAAGAAGAACCAAAACTACCCTCATCTAGGCCCCGATGGCTACGCTGGCAAGCAAGAGGTCTTTAGGAAGATGGACGCAGTGGCCGAAGCTGCCGGGAATACGAAAGTGCCAAAGTTGAAGCCACGCCTCAAACAGTGGATATACGCGAGGAGTGTGGATTCATCCGGTAGTAGCCTCAAGTTTGCTAAGCCAGAGATCGGAGAGGTAGTATCAAAGATACTGAAACTTGCTGAAGACAAGGAGAAGGGCGCATTCAACCCTTCTAGAGAGAGGGACGAGCTTACCGTTGCCTTGGGAAACCCTGAGCACACAGGACGCACCAGGGGGCTAGGGAAGAGGATGTCTTGGAAGCACGGATTCGTAGAGGAGAGGCACATGTACAAGAAACATAGTAGAGACCGAGAGTCTAATCTTGAGCGCCAAGTGAAGGCTCTAGTTGAAAAGATGTTGGTGGAGAAATGACTGTCTATGATGGAGCCACAGACACTAATGAGGCCGCCCGGAGAACTAGCGGTAGTTGACAGCCCTCCGGATGTTCCCAGCAGTCAAGGTTCCAATGCAACCGGAACCCCCGTCGATCGCATACGGGCGCCAACCAGTTGCAAATTGGTGGTTCCGATGGGCAGGCAAAACGTGATCATTGAGGTGGCAACGGGCGTGGCACATCCTCCGGGCGGCACGTGGCACAATAGGGACATCCCGTAGGACTACACTCGGGTCGAGGTGCATACCGTGAAGCCTGAGTTCATGACTTGGAAGATAGAACACCCTACTCCCGAGGGGCTCGTGTTACTCGGAGACGTCATGAACTAGTTCATCCTCTGGCATAGACGGGACATTGTATTGACCGAGTCTTCGCCAACTCCGATTGAAGTTCATCCTCTGGAGCGACCCATCGAGGACGGGGAGGTATACTCACCGGCCCATGACCATGACCACCACACGCTAGAGACTTCTCCACCTCATACCGAGCAAGGGCATGATGAAATGCCACATCCTTCTCCACCTCGTACCGAGCATGGGCATGATGACATGCCACGTCCTTCTCCAGCTCGTACCGAGCAAAGGCATGATGAGATGCAACATCCTTCTCAACAAGCGCAGCCGATACATGAACAACAAGTGTCTCATGAACAGCAATTGCCTCGTGAACAGCCGATACGTGAAGAACAAGTGGCCCCTGGAGCAGGTGATGCACAAGTTGACAAGGATGTGCTCGAATGGGAAGCTCGAAACAAAATCCCAATCAAGATAAGGCCATCGTATGTGGGCATTAATGACGTCTCATCGGTGCACAAGTGGATGGCCCATGACCAGTTCAAGTCTAAGAACCAAGTAAAAGAATTCAGAGCACCAGCTTCTAAGGAGGGCACCACTAGCAAACTACACAAAGGGTTTAACAAGTATCCAGCTGTTGATAACCTCAAATGGTCAAATGATTGTCCAGATAAATATGAAAAAGGCAAGAACTTCCTACCAAACCGAGTCATACAGTGCTTGCCACGTGGAATGAGAAAGTTCCACAATTGGTACTTGCGTGCTCAGATAACAGAACTAGAAATCTTACAAGCATGGATCCCTATCGGCACATTTGGAGCCCCAGGTGGGCAAATTGCCGTTGAGTTTAAGGATATCCAGGCATGCTTCCACCTCGGACGAATGGAAATGAATCTAATTCACATGTGGTGCCTATAAGTCCTTGCCCTCTCGATATGATATGAATGTAATCTTTTGATTTTGTTGTAACTAACCCGCGCCGTGATTTGTAGAATGCAAGCGGACTTTATGAGAAAGAGGCCAGCTTTGAAACACGGGTATATAGACCCTTCACCTATAGCATCAACAAATTTTAATTACCCTAAAGAGTGGAAACTAGATTGCAAAGAACTAGGAGCTGGAAAGACACTTAAGGAGAAAGAGGACATCAAGAACAAGAAAATATTGGAAGAGTCCCTCAAGGTTGCGGCATACATTGCCCTATGTTTTAAAAATCTCCAACAACACGATACTATATGGATATCATACCACTTCAAGTAAGTTCGACTGTATACTTAGCTTTGTTCAATATGCTTTGTTCGATGCAAAAGAGCTTATGTGTTCCTTCTATGACTAAATTCATGCAGCGATCACTGGATTTGCATAGGCGTCTGGCTCTCACATAGCATGGCATGGGTCTTTGATTCAGCGGATTTCCCAGTCGAGACATACAAAGACTTCATAGCGATTGTCAAGACATATACATATCGACAATCCTCATTTTAGCTACTATGTTTGTATACATACTTGTAAGGTTCAATGTGGGATACTAACAAGTTGCATTTGCTAAAACCATTGGAACAGGACATTCAGGCACTATGTCGAGGAACATAAGGGGAGGCATCATCAAAATAGGAAGGAAAAGTTGTATGTCGAAACTCTATGTGCGATAAGTGTCATTTACTTTGGTACTCCATATATTACGTGTCTGTCAATAGCATTACTTAACATCTCCATATGCAAAACACACAGTGCCCTAAGCAGAAGCCTGGGAGTTTACATTGTGGATACTACACATGTATTATGATGAGTACCATCGGTGGCTACAACAGAAACCCCAATCTGATAAGTTTGAACCTCTTCGCTCGTAGTATGAAAAGTTCGCATATGTTGTGATATAGTAAACCTAAACTTGTTCTCTTGTAGTTGGAGAAAGATAAAGACACGAGAAGGAACCCATACAAGGATGACGAGCTCTTAGAGATGGTCGGTGACCTTTGCAACTTCATAATGGACCAGATTGTGTACCATAAAGGCACTTACCATCATCTTCTTTTCGACTTAGGTAGTAATCCTCTATACCAACACCTTCGTGAGACTGATAGGCTAGCCCTAGATCGTTGATGACAATGTGGACTTGTGGTATGGTTTGGATCAGACTTTGGAACGGTTTGGACTTTGTTTTGCATGTGGACTTGTGGATTTCTTAATGGACTATGTTATAATGATGGACTTCATAATGGACTATGTTGTAATAATGGACTTTTGTGAATTATGACTTGTGATGATGTTCTAAATAATGGTTTTGTGTTTGTGGATGTATATATGTATATTTGTGGCAGTCAGATTCGAATTTGAATTATATATATATATATGTGTGTGGTTAGATTTGAATTTGAATTATATTTTTTTTGCTGGAAAATCCACTGTAGGGGTGATTCTTGATTGAACCGCCCTTACAAATACATACAGCAGGGGCGGTTGGTGATACAGCTGCCCTTACAGAAGTTCACTACATGGGCGGCTGATATTACCGGCCACCCCTACAGAGGGCACTGTAGGGGCGGCTGAAAACACCAGCCGCCCCTACAGAGGGCACTGTAGGGCAGGAAACCGCCCCTACAGAGGCACCTCTGTAGGAACACACTGGGAAGGGTGGCTGGCGTAGCCGCCCCTACAGAGGCTCTAGAGCCGCCCTACAGTTAACTTCTGTAGTAGTGTGGCCGGTGTCGGTGCTTCCCGTCGCTGGCAACGCCCCCTCACTTAGATCGGCTCAGGGTTAGAGGTATAGGTGGGGTGTTTGGCGGCGCAGGTGATTCTCGTGCTTTGTGCCCCGGCCCCTCGCCTTTCTTTTTATGGTGCTGTGCGGCAGAGGCCCACCAACCATAGAGCGATTGGACGCTCCTGATCAGGGCGTTGATCCAAGAGTCCAATTAACCGTTGGTGGAGATCAATCTAATAGTAAGTTGTAACAGATTTCTTCATGTGACATCGACACTGATGGGCACTCCTGATGGCATGTATGTAGGGCCGGATCGAGTCTCCTCCGTGGGCGCTTGGGAAGCTGCTGGAGCACCTGAGGCTCAACTACGGGAACCCTCCAGTCATGTTCCATGAAAACGGTAGGCACGACAGCACTAGTTGTTGACAAGTTCTCAAGATAACATATGTCTAGCCCCCTAGTATACACTACTACTGGTGCTGTAAGTGACTGCATGATCGAGCTCTTGTGGTGTTTGCTGCGTGCACGCACGTACGGTTGCACTGTTGCAGGACTAGGAGACACCCCCGGCACGCCGAGCGCGATCGAGTACGACGATGAGCCCAGGATCGAGTTCCTGCAGGACTACCTGGAGGTTCTGTACCTCTCCATACGGTGCGTGCAGTGCATCATATTCTCCTTGTTGATTCATTTCGATTCTATGGACGTTCCCGAATGAATTGGCCGTGATGTGGATGCACGCATGCATACGTATGCAGGAACGGGTCGGACGAACGGGGCTACTTCGTGTCATCGTGTGGTCGTTCCTGGACGTGTTCGAGTTCATCTTCGCCTACAGGATGCGCTTCGGCCTGTGCGGCGTCGACATGAACGCCGGGGCGCGCACGCGCTACCTGCGGAGCTCCGCGCGCTGATACGCCGGCTTCCTCCGCGGCGGCGAGCTCCGGCCGCCGCTCCCGACGACGTCAGGCCGTACGCCGCGTGACGGACGGCCTCCCTCAAGCGACGACGACGGCGACAGCACATGCATTGTTGCTATCGTAGCACGCACGCCGAGGGCCGGTCCGGTGGGAAATAATCTAGCTGGTGAAGAATAAGCAGATTCGTGTGCAGACGCGCGCTGTTAGGTTGTTGTCTGATGTAACTATAGTATACACGAGTGACCGAGGTCATTCGATCGATGGGGGATAAAACATCGTGTAGACGACGACATGCATTTACTGTGTCTGATGGAACTATACACATGTAAACGAACCATCAATCTGCTATCAGCTGCAAGTTGAGACGAAGTAGTAGTACAGTGCAAATTGGGATTTTTGCTGCTGTTTAATAAGTCACGAGTGAAGCCACGTTTTTTTGTCGGCGATGGCTTTGAATATTCGTATCCTAGTTGAAACCCTAGCAGCTACCAGCGGCATGTAGTCAAAAGTGACGCTGAGGGAGGGGAATTTGTACTCCGTCTTCTAGATAGATTTCTTGGTGAATAAGTGGAAGTCTCGATCATCAGGGAAAAAAAACAACAGCGAGGAGTGGACTAGAAACGCCCGACCGAGCTGCGGATCGAGCTGGGCTTCCTGTCTGTCTCTGGAAGAGACCACATGGGCGCCACCTGCACTGCACACACGCCAGGTTCGGCGGTTCCTGTTCATTGTTCACACGTGGACACTGGACAACAGCGATATGCAGGAACGGCTGGAGCCGCTGAGTTCTGAGGCTCGATACGCTTGCACGCGCGGGTACACGTACGGTTCATCCGCGCCGCCGATCGAGCAAAGCAAGCGCCAAGGCGGCTGAGGCGCACCAGAGGACGGACGGCAACGCAATGTACGATGTCGCCACGTGCAGAGCCGCTAACGAACCCCGGTGGGGCGGGCAGTAGAGACCTCTCCGCGCGACGTCAGCGACTACGTCCGCGCCACGCGGACACGGGGCGGAATTTCCTAGTTTGCCACCGCGGACGGCCGGCCCCGGCCCACGCTCAAATATATAAAACCACACCCCCCGCGAGCGCGGCCGACCGGCGAACAAACCGATAGGAGACCCACTGAGGCCGGCCGGCGCGCTGGACATGATGGGGAAGGCGTTCGGCTGTGCTGTTTTCCTCCTCCTGGCCGCGCTCGGGGTCGGCGTCGGCGTCGGGGCGGCGGCGGGGGCCTCTGCCGCGGACATCACCAGGGCCGACTTCCCCGCGGGGTTCGTTTTCGGCGTCGGCTCCTCGGCGTACCAGGTACGTCGCGGTGCCATGTCCGGTTCCCATGGTGGTGGCATGGTCCATGATTCAGACAGTAGTTGTCTCTTCTCTTGCCGTTTTTTCGCTGTTTTTGCGCCCCCAGAAAACCACGATTGAGCATTTGAGTTCGTGGTGGTTTCCATAGCAGATTAGATGTGTGCCGTCACGCACCACCCAATCTGGGATAAGGTTGTCCAGTGCGGAATCCTTGGTTGGTTGCTCGGAGCGTGGGTAGGCGTAGCAAACCAAATCTACCTGCTCGGCTGAATACATGTATATATACGCGGACTAGTAGATGGTTTGCGCCGATTTCACCACTGGTTTACTAGCTCTCGGATTTTGTTCACTGCTTTAATTTAGCTTAGAAATCATCTTGGTTTGAACGAAAAACAAGCGAATCGTCACTGTCAACGTAAGGCGCGCCAAGGTCCGCATCCGCACATGGTCATCACTTCACTTTTTAATAATATTCTAGTAGTTATTTTGTCGCACCTTATCTCGAAAGTATCTCTACTCCTGTATCTTTTATTGTAATCGAGGACATGCCGAGCGCACTCATTTGACTAACGAGGATTTTCTTAGTACATATACGATATGAGTGTGACCTTTTATTTCTACAACTGAGTTCTAGAATCAAGTTTTAAGTTGATTTTGTTTTGTAAACTGCTTTTTTTTTTGTAATTGATGTATCGTAATAAGGGCTTGTTTGATCCACCCCTCTAAACTTTACCACTAAACTTTAGAGTTAAAGTTTGCAAACATATGTCTAAATTTAGCTCTAAATTTTAGTCACCTTCTCAAAACTGAGCTAAAATGCTCTAAAAATGGGTCATAAGCTGCTCTAGGATTCCATAGTTCGAGTAGTTCCAGTCATGTGTTTGACGGGTGGACCTAAAGCAGGCATGCACACGGAACATATATACTACCCAGTTTTCAACCCTTTTTTTGCGAAGGGAAGGTCAAATTATGAACCAACTGATAACATTTTTAGAAAATATTCTTATTAGTTTCATATTTTCTGATGTAAAATAAAAAAAAATAAAAAACCACCTTTAAAAATGCAAAGAAGCGACCAAATTCATCTGGTTTCGACAGCTGCAGGGACCGGTGCCCACTTTGAGTGAAAATTGGACTGGCATACAAATTGAATGTTAGAAAATGGACTTTACCCTAGTTTTTAACGTATACCTTCGCCTTCAGAGATCAAAGCACAGCCGGCGCAGCTTAAGTCATTTCACTCCATCTCTTAGTCTCATCAGGTGTCTAAATAAACTATATGCTGATTGCAAATGGCAACTCGCCCTTCTTATGCAACAAGAGCCCATGCTCCTTCTAGAAGCGTAGAGCCGTAGACCCAGTAGCTGCACTGTGACTGGGACACCCATTTGTAATTTGTGTTTGTACCAGAGCCGTGCTCCCACAAGATACAAGTACGTGCGGCAGGCCTGCGCCTGCTGGTGGTTGCTACTCGTCCACTAGGAAGTCTCCTTTTTCCATCGACAATAACAGTTTTGGCAGCGGATAACAAGGACATGTTTGTCCATTGGATTTCACAAACCAAAGAACGATGTCATTTTCTTAGCACGTCACTCCCCATGGATTCCACAAACGATATGTCATTTTCTTAGCACTTTTCCCCCTCCCGTCAGTTGAGCTACATGACATTGGCCCCTTATTTATAGCATGTTCGTTGGTTGGTTTCTGGGCTGATAAGCCTGACTGCTGCTGGTTTATTGTGAGAAAAAATACTGTACCCTGACTGATAAGCTTTGGCTAAAATTAACGAGCAAACTTGAACCATTGATCTTTAAAAGAAAAGAATTATTGTAATCTATTATAAATAAGGGTAGATTTTTTTTTGATACAGGAGGGGTTTTACCCCTAGGTCCCGTTCGCTTGTCTTAAATTTGATTTGTTCGGCTTATTTTTTCAGCTGGAACAGTGTTTTTCTCTCACAACAATTCAGCCGGAACAGTATTTTTCAGTCAGTTTCAGCCAAAGTTCACCAGCGAACAGGGCCCTACTGGACTTTATTAAAACTAGAAGTTAACAAATAAGGGTAGTTTAGTAATTATTATGATTATTCCCTTCGAAGGTCGTCCTTCTTGGTCGCCTGTTGTCGACCGCCGGTCTGTGGGGGCTCGCAGCCATCCTTCAAATCACCGTCGCCAGCCTGCAGCTAGAAGGTAGAAGCTGATCGATTTCAGTTCCAAAAGTGCTTTTTCTAGGAAAGTGGCAGAGGATTCTAATGGAGGACATAGTAGTAGTATTGGTTCTGCTAGTCGCAGTGTGTTCCATCTCATACACCGGAGCTGTTGACGCCGCCGCATTGCAGATGGACGAGCGTAGGCGTCACGTGCGTGGGTGCCAACAGGGCGCATGGGCCTGCACCTCAGATGGATCCAAAGATAAAGCTGCATGCCTCGCGACTGATCCAGCATGCAGCATTCACTCCATCTCGCCGTGCGTTGCGTGCCCAGCGGTTTTCCTCGGATTCTTTCTCGCCGTCTCCTCTTCAGAAACAGTAGAAAGAGGAGATCGCGCGGGAGGTGCAGGGGGAGGAATTGGATCTCGAGGGGGCCGTCCTGTTGGCCGGCGCACCGATCGGAGAAGTGGTCGTCGACAGCGAGACATCCATCAGAGTAATCAAACAGGGAGTTAAGGGCAGCGAAAGTACAATTCTACCCTTTTAATTTGTTTTTGAAATAATTACTAACACATACTCCCTCCGGTCCATTTTATCTCGCGCAGTTTAGAATGATACGGTCTCCTAGATTACACTTTGATCATTCATTTGTTTTATATTATATTATTTATGCTTATAAACTTATAATCATTGGATACTATAAGTCCTTACAAATCTTTTTTTTAGCAAAAAATACAGTAGGGGAGGCCCCCACTATGAGATTTTGTTAAAAAGCAAAAGCCAGAAACTGTAGAGGAGAAAGAACAACAAAAACAAAAATCACCCAAGAAGCTGAGGGAGCCACTGGTCAGCTAAGAACTAAGAAAAGGAGTATACGAAGGAGGAAAACAAAGCGCTTGTCTTCAGACATTCTAAGAGTTTGAAGTCTAGCCTCATCCAAAAACGAGCATTTCCAGGAGGAGAAAGAGGGTCGTCCTCTGTCAAATATAAAGTTATTTCACTGCTTCCATATGTGCCAGGCAACAATGATGAAGATCTCCATAAAGAAGGGATTTTGATATTGTTGTTGCATCATCATTTGAGAGAAATCACTTTGAAAGTTTCAGTGCATATTCAAGTGTTGCCAGCAGGCCTAACTAAATGGACAGCTGAAGAAGAGGTGGAAAGCAGTTTTCTCAACATTCTGATTACAGAGAATGCAGTTATAGTTATTGCCCTCCAACTTGTGCGTTTTCCTTTTAAGAAGGTTCCTTGTGTTTAGCCTATCCATAATCACGAGCCAGGAGAAGACTTTAAGTTTGTTACTGCATTTTGAGTCCCAGATCCACAGAAAAGGAGTAAGGGGCTGAACATTTCTGTAGGGGAAATTGTAGAATTTAGAAGATGTATAGCTGCTGCTTCCCCAAATATAGTACCAAGAGTCTTTTGTATCTTGTTGAACCTGTATAGATTGAATGTAATCTTGCATTTTTTTATATTCTTGATAAGGTTGTTCGGACAGAGGAAGGTGGAATTGTGACTAGAGGTTGTTTGAAAGG